CTACCAAGATAGCATTTATAGCTGCTCTTAGCACACACGCATCCCAACACCTGCGCTTTGTGATGCGGTGCGCGGTTTAACTCTTCGTTTCTCTCCTGCTTGGCTTTGCGGGATACTGGATTGATTCCTAATCGATCTTCTTTCCAATACATCTAATATCACATTATTAGTAATGTTCAAAACGCGAGGCACCAACGCGATACGACGCCAATATTGAAACGTCGAACCGACATGTAAGAGATCCTGTCATTTCTTATCTTTATAAATGATCATGATGTTTTATAATGCCACCCAGGGCAAAAGCTAATGCGGGGTTCGAAAAAACGACATCATACAGCATTCGCGGCAGGCGTGAGGTTTTCTTCCTGTACAACACTCCAAGCATACAAAGATCCGCAACATGATGCAGGGTGGTGAGCTCGAAGCGAGTTGTGCTGGATCATCAGCTTATCTTTTATTATAGACACTATTATCACTCACTTTTATTACGCCATTGAAACGCTCTTTTATAGCCGGCCGTGCTTTTATTTAGACTTTAAGCAGTTTTCGAAAACATTTCTTTTTATTTTTCACCCAGGGAACAATGTTAGAAGTTTGCTGCCTGAACAAAGCGAGAACTCGTGTTGACAATGTCCTAATTTTGCATAACGTCAGTTTCGTAGGATGGAATCATAATTTTCTTTGTTTACTTGCCAGAAATTAATTCTATTTTATTACTTTTTCCTCTTTGAAATAGGTTAGAATTGTTTGAGTAATGATTTGCGCCATCTAGTATTCACAATTTAAACTAAAACGCAATCAGTTAAATTTTCAAAAGTATAAAGTACAATTACACACTTGTCATGCTCAGCAAAATGGCAAAAACAAACCACGCGCTTGATGTACAAAATTAAAGTGTCGCATCCTTCATTATTCAGATAGAGTGGAATGCCAAACCACTCACGTTTGCGTTCGGAATGAATTATGGACGTATTTAGTATTAAATTCTGACAGGATTGGTTATCAGACTCCGGACGGGCGCGCAAATGCATTTAAAGCACCCTGCTCACGGATGTGTCTACCAGACGCGCTGATACATACCGCTTGAAATAAAATCGTTGATTTTTTATTGTGGATTTATTCGCTTTGCGTCAATCGGATACGTGACGTTGCCTGTATTCCGAGAATCCCCTATTTTTATATTTTTATGTTTTTCAATATTTTCTCAATTTCAGCGCTTTCACCGATTAATTTTTAACGTTTTTGCATGTTATATTTTTATGCCAGCAGGATTTAATGTTTTTGACGCGTATTAGGATTAAATTATTTTTAGATAAATTTTTATTTAAATTTAATAGCAGTTTATTTATATAAATAAAACGTTATTTAAACTTTAAATTCGTATAATTTATTTTGTTCAATTTACTGGAGTAGCATTTACTCAATGCTGAACTCAAAATCATTAAAAACAAACATGTAGTAGTATCGAAGGTAATCGATTTAAATTGAAATCTTATCCGAGTGAAATTTATTATCCGAAAGGTTTCTTTGTGGTGCTTTTGTTGCTCGAAGCGGAAACAAGCAAACAATGGGTTGACCATTACTATTTTATCACTTGGCATTTTCTCGCGTACGTGCCGTCCTCTAAGCTTGATTGAAAGTATTGGTTTCCAATGTTTAACAGGCACACAATAGAAGTGTGGATACGTGAATGTTGGGCCGTGTAATATTCGATCGGCTCGCGACAAGATTGGCTTGCCTTGCATGGCAGTTAAGCGCGTTTCATTGAGCATATTATTTACATATTGCTTACGTTTGTCTCACAATTTCACAAAGCGAACCCGGCAATGTGGTTTCAGTCTCCTCTGCCCTTCTACAACCTCCGGCGACTTGACAAAGTTCACCTTACCGCAAAACGCCACGGCCTTAGGCGTTCGCCGTGCTGGCATACAAATGGCAAACTTGTACCTATGTTAGTTAGCTGGCGCTGGGGCTTTTGTGCAACATTTTCGACGTCGTTGAAGTCGTGTGGTCGCTAGGCGACTTGTTTGGTTGGTTGCGTTTATAATATGTCCACGTCAAATGCATCCCTACGCTAAGCTTGTTTGCTTACAGAAAACCCTTTGTATTGACCGTTTGTTCAAAACTTTTGCAAACATACAAAATTGTAATGCTTCTAAATCATATTGTAATATTCCGTTTGTTCATTCTTCTTTACTTAGAAGTAGATTTTTAACGTTAAAGTTTAAATCACGAAGAAGCTTTGTTTGCTGTTTCTAATTCGCAATGAATAAATTAACAATTTAGAAACTTTTAAGCACGCTTGTTCTATTATGCATATAAAGAGCTTTACAAGTTGGTGTTTCCATCGTTCCCATCTTAACCCCTGCCGCCTTTTCGACTAAATTGAGTCGTAGTGTCTGTTATAACGGCGTTTGTTTGAAACAAAGCGATTATTATATTAATTGTAAGCTGTCTAGATTTAAACCTTAAAACGCCAGTTTTTCTACGGTTTTAGACACAAAATGTGGTACTTTATACACGGCCGTGGCTAAAGTACTTTAAGCACTACATTATTATATAGTAACAGAAAAAATCAAAGAAAAATATTTTACTTCTGGTATCTTTTTCCAATCATTCCCTTTTCTAAATATATTTATCTGTTTACACATTTATAGAATACATTGGAACCAAATGTCATAGATATTTTATTGTATATAAAAACCAATGCTCTTTGGTGGATTTAAGATTCATCCATATTAAACAACGTTTTCGGGGGTTTGACAATTCGCATTGTCGAGAAAATCGTAGCGGTCGTATTTTTTATCGGCGCCGTGTAAAGCTAAGGGGTTCCTAATAGTGTATTCAACGCATCTTTACCATATTCTTTCCATTTTTGCGGGAATCCGGGCGCTCCGTCCAAAAACGACCGCACACTGCTTACATTCGTAATACAGACGCTCAAAACTTTCAGCTGCGGAGCTGCGATACTGATATACATACCTCTATAATATAATGCACATTTGATTTATCGACTTGGCAAAACTTTGCCGTTATCACATACGAGATGAGGATATTATGTATACCACACATGTGCGCGCTGCGCTGCTCAAGTATCGCCGTATAGACTGTTTCTATTGTATAAGAAAAGTTCATATACTAGGGAAACACACAACTCACTGACTTTGAGCGTCCCTTTGGAATCTAAATCTACTTTCCATTTGAGTATATTTTTCATTTTGTTAGATATTTGCACTATTTTTCATTTTATATTTTGAATAATATTCAGAAATATTCAGATAATCATTGAGCTTCAATCACTGTTATCATCGTCAAATTTCGACTTAAAATTTTATATTTTAGTTAATTATTTATTCTCTTGCCATTTGCCAAGTTTTTAATTTGATTCCTATGCCAGCTTTGGCACTAAGTTAAATTAATAAAAATTGAACCAAAAACAATAAATTTCCTAAATTGTGCTTTTGTAGAATTGAATTCACAGTTTTCAATTGATATTAAAATGTTTATTTCTTGTTCTCGCCAGAAATAAACGCGATTGTCATAACAGAAACACAGTAAACACGATAAGGTGCTTTATGTCACAGTTACTAGAATTCTGTCTGTATTCACACGTTTGCATTTCCCTTGGCGTCTCGTGTCGTTGTCAACTCATTGGAGTCGTATCGCATTCGGCGACGGGTTCTATGCGATTTTCAGTTGCCGCCGCCGTTCGCCACTGATTGTTACCGCCGCCATCGCTTCGACGTCGTCCTTTTCATTCACGGTTATAATCCATTCAATTCAAAGATAGAAGTGAGTCTGCTATAAAAGCCACCCTTTCCTAACATGAGATTCGCCAAACGACACTCGTCATAAATATAAAACAACAACGTACGGAAACAAAGCCGTACATGTTGCGTACAATTTCAAAAACCCGCCTGATGAGAGTGTGAATACATTTGAGGGAAATTAACAAAAGCGAACGCTGATTGAATATGTTACATTGCCGTCTAACGTAACAATAAATAATATAATGCCGGAATGAAAAATGTAGGATGTTCATTTCACATACGGAGAGAATGTGGGGAGATTTGTTTGCCGTTTGCCTTATCGCGCGAAATGCCGAAGACTGATGAGTCTATTACGAGTGAAATGCAGCGCGGCCTGCTTCAGACTGGTTTCGGGATGTTGCGGATGCTGCGGCCGCCGCAGCAGGATGAAACAGACACAAATCAGGCTTGGGCAACAAATCGCTGCGTTTACTAACAGACGTCGTGTACATTAATTTTCTTGATCGCCAATGGTCAATCGCTTTTCTATTTTCTTCCTTTTTTGGTTAGTATATCACCCTGCAGTGGAATTGATTATATTTTCATCGGAAAAGAAAATATGAATAATTATGTGGTTAATTTAATAAAAAACTGTTGCAAAAGCATAAAATTTAAGACCAAAAGTAAGAAAAATTGTTTTTTTTTTAAACTAGAAAAGAAATTCACTCATATTTTACCATTAGAAATCAAATATTTGTTAATTCACAGAAAAATACTAAATTTGAGAAAAAAACACTAATAACCTGCCAATGAAATAAAATTTTCTCATTTCATGCATTCTTTGCAAAGGTGCAAAACCTGGTGCCATTGATATTTATATTCTCAACAGACATGTACAATAGATTCAACAGATACCTACACGCGGCGCACGAGTAAACATTTAGAATATATTAAGTCTATAATTTATCGCAAACCTGCATGTTTGCTGTTCCATTCCTCCCCTAGCTCTACCCGGTTATTTTGCCATTTAGCAGCCCGAGTGAAATTTTCGGCTCGCTTTCCACAAACCCTTAAATCTGAATTAAACATCCCGCCACCCCGCCCGGTAATTTATAACATTCACACTCCAAATTGCTTTAATTACTGCTTAACGCAATGCTAATTAACTTAATATTAATTTCTTCACCGCTTTGTAACTTGCATTGTGATTCAAAAGTCTGCGTTTCGAAAATATACGATAACTAAACCGGATGGGGAAAGAAAAGTTATATTAACTACGTTTTGTGTGAATGCACAGGCATGTTGCTGACAAGTACTATGTGGGGGTGGTAGAGCGGACGACCGCAACTTCTCCGCTTTACGAGTAATGCGACAAGAGAGATTCGCGCACACGGCTGGTGTGTGCTGGACCGTCGTCGACCACTAACCGGACAGACGCAGATGTCGCTTAACTTATCGCCAAAGTTTGTTGTTTTAATCACGAAATAAGCGGCCGCACATAATCACTGCACATGCAGAATTATAACAAGCCCGATGTCGCGACTGCAGGTCATAAGCTCTAGAGTTGGGTATGACCACATTGGTCGTTAGCCCATCTGCACAGCAAAAGGGGAGCAGTTATAGTTTAGGTCACAACCACTGTTTCCTGTTTCGTCATAGATATAATATGCTTCACTTGATTTTGAATAATTCAAGTTTTCAAATTCGAACACACAGCTTGCGCATACCCTCCATGGATCTCTACGGCCACGAAATTAATAATTAATCTGAAATTATTAATGTTCCGGCAAGAAGTTTGGCTCGGACGCTTGCCCAACACTAGTTATGGTCAAGAATGGCTAATTAATTTGATTATTAATGGCCGGTCGGTATTAATAATGAGGATTAAACGCACACTGTCTCCACTAATCGCCTTTTTACCTTCCATCTTAAGATTTAAAACTCTTCTGGCAAATAGTTTAAGAATTAACGTAGGCGGATGTGCCGAAGTGGATATTCTTGTCTGATTAATTTACGCCCCTGTTATAATAGGACATGAAACTTCACTAACTTCCGAAGCCGGACCCAGTCGCATTTGCGTGTCCTTTGCGAAAGGGTGCGTTGGGCGTGCGAGAGGATAGCACCGACGACCAGGAGAGAGTGTGCTAATCGAAAGGGTTTCTTGATTCCGTTGAGTGTACGCGCCCCGCATCGCCCGACAGGGTTTTCTTGACGGTCTCTTTTGCGACATTTCCTTACATGGAATTGGTATTGATGGCTCGATGAGGATCTTCACTTAATCGGAATCTAACAGCGATTACTACTTTAACCTACAACAAAGATGCATCAAGCTACATTGGTATTAATAATAATTCAGACCTTTCTCAGAAAATATCCACAAAACACTTTTATTTAAATATTTATGTGTATTATGTGACTTAATAGGATTGTCGTTTTGTGTTATTTAACAATGTATAGCCACGTAATGTTTGTGATATTTTTTCTATTTTCACGTTGAGATTAGTGAATTTGAATATTAAATCTTTGAAATCGTCTCGCACTACTGAGAAATCTAAGGTTATAAATGCCAGGCCATGTCGCGTTGCGTCGCGCTGACTCGAGCAGTATCACCGCTTGCTTCGATTTGTTTTTCACTGATGAGGCATCACATTTTATATGGTGTTGTGCTGCACCGTTGACTAATGTGCAAGCGCAACCTCCACCCGGTGACTAAAACTCAAGGTTAAAGTACTTTAATCACGACTTTGGTCTTTTATGTTTAAAATACAACTTTTTGTGTATCAAAACCATGGAAAAGTAGAAAAAAGCAATAACTACACTTTTATAACCTTAATATTTTCCGATTTTCTAGTAAATTATTACTGTTTCTAACGGTCGCTTGCTGTTATTTATAAGATAAATATGAAGACAAAGTACGCCGTTTACCACGCTAAACTGTTACATGTAGCATGTTTTGATGGGACGCAATGTCTACAAGAAATGAATTATAAAAGTCTTATTTCACCCGCAGTCATATGTCTTTATTACGAACGTGCACACAATGATTGCTATAGCGATTTCTGCGTCCTAGACGCGAGAATGCGGAAAGTGTTCGCAACACCAAAATACGTCTCCCTTCCTATTGCGGAGATAATAAAAATAATATGTTTCTGGATTTAGACAGGACATGAGATTTTTATAAAAATAAGCAAAAAATCGTGTTTTTCTTTTATTTCAGTTGGTGAGTCACTCGCTGGGCTTCCGCAGCGGGCAAAAGCCGAGTCTTATATCCTGTTGCATATTTCGCCCTCATTAAATGCGCATTTAGCATAGCAACCTTCCAGAGGAAATAAATCTTATTAGCAAATACAGTCGGCGGGCAGACGAAAGAGGGAAGAGCAGAGCCACGGCTCATACCTGTGGGTTCAGCAATAGAATTCCTATTTGTTGCTTTCGTCTTCGTCATCTTCATCATCTCGGGCGTTCATTTCCGGCATTTAAAAATACATGAAATATTTTTTTATTTCCGCACGTTTCTTGATTTCCTCCAAGCACACGCACCAGTGTTTTAGATTGGCAGCGAGAGAAAAAATCTTTACTCGACCGTTTACGACGTTGACGCTGCCGTTTGCCGTCCCCTTCTGCTAGTTAATATCTGTTACTCTATTTAGTGAAACTTAAATAATGTAACGGCCGTGCTGGAGCACTCATTCAAGCGGAGCGAGAGCATGGGCTCACGCGCCGCAGGCGAAACGAATGACGGGCCGGTGGGCTCTATGGTCAGCTTGACCGCCTCTCTGGGGAGCTCTCTGGCGTCCACTGGTCGGTCGTAACTTACCTTGCCCCCGACCCTTAACTTTAAACAAACGACATGATAAACTTAAATGACCCGAGCGCCAAACCAAAAACTTAATTACGATTTAAAAAGATTCTGATTTAGATTCGGCGATAAATTTTCATTGTCAATGTTTTAAGTGTTTGTAATTATTATAGGGATCAGTTTGACTTTTTTATTACACAATTGCAGAATTGTTGAATAAGCAAAATCTTATTTAGGGCAATTCTGACACCCCATGAAGAGAAACCGCAAGGCATTTTTCAAACCGTAGGATTTCCGTTTTCATCGTCCCGAATGACGCACCGTAGCGTCATTATTCCTCGTTCCGAAAATCTAAAAAGAGGGTAAATGGACGCTTCCGGCCACTAGATAAATGTTAGCTATCGTTACAGAATCCCAAAAGATTTCGGTATTAAGTTGACCGCAATATTTCTTCCACAACGCCTTGATTTCTCCAAAGAAAAAAACTAATAATAATAAGTTGATTATTTTTCAGAATGTAAATATAGATTTGGTATTGTGCGAGGTCGTGTGATTGCGATGACGTGTGCGAGTTGAACGACTATGCGTGTAATTACGAACGTGTCATAAACAATTGGCGATATGCCCAGATGATCGCACATGAAATGGTCCAGAACATGTGCTGTCATTTCGATTGGTCCTCGCTATAAGGGCTCCATCGCAGCCATTCTGCGTGCGGATGCATAGCATACAGGAAGTTCGGGAAATTTAATAATCCTCGAATATATGCGTGTTGCGTCGAGTGTCGAAGCACCAGGTATGCAAATTTGCGCAAACGCGTTTCTCTGTTTAATGCACGCGACGGGCAATCAAACGCAGATCAGCTAACGACCGATCACGTTCGTCAACGGCTTATGCTGGTATTCGTACTGTACGTGCACAGTAAACACACGCGGGAGTTGGCACCACGTGCGTTCCACAGATTGTGTGTATGTTGCAGCAGCAAATAGAATGCGATGCCGATATACGCAATCGCTAATTATTCAATTGAAATGCGATTAAATTGATTGATGACGTTTGTGGATGCGGGGAAGTCATTAAAAGCCGAAGAAACATTTTTTAATATAATGGATGCTTTATATTGTGTCATCAAATGTCTTAAAGCCGCATTGAATTGTTAATGCGCAGTATTTTCAAGAACATCATTCAGCTACTCATTCTCCCCCTGCGGTTTGCTTCTTTTGTATATTTGGTTGCCGTCGTTCTGGTTACATTCTAATTTATCCCGTTCTAAGTCTTCGTATGCCAACGACCCGTTTGTGGCGTTTTACATTATTCAATAGTTTATAAGATTTCCCAAACACAATGAAGGCGCAAATGGCACCGCCAATTTAATAATAAGGACAATAATAATGGAAACCCCTCGCCCATTGAATTGAACTGAAATCTCTCGGCAGCTACTATCGCGGATACAGTAGCCATGAAAGTTTGACTTGGTGAATGCATACACAGTTGCCGTTGTGTGTATGAGTTCAGCGACGTACGACGTTGCATGTATAACTTCTAAATTGTAACATTTACGCAAACAAAGACGCCCTCGGGCTGCGCATTGTCACAACTCTCATTGACTCCTAATAGCTTCTAAAGATATATCCAACAACCGAATCCTTACATTTCATAGCAAACAAACGCAAACTCTTGGTATCGCAACAGGACAAAGGAGTTCACATTCAGACTTCTCAAGTTAAACAATGTAGATATGCATTCGTATAAAGTAGCAAAGAGAAAATTATTGGTTAGCAAATAATAATATAACGCATTTTGTAAGAGAAACAGAATGAATGTAGTCAAAACAATGTTTTTTCTTTGCTTAAATACAAGCTGAAAACTTTCTGCTTGAGTTTAGTTTGCGTGGTTGCGGTGGTAGGTTTTATCACTTTAGATCCGACCACAATATCCCCTTGTGTGGGACTGACTAGTTTCCAACATTGATTCTATTGTAGGGTTTTGATCTAAATCTCCTCTGGTCATAAAACTATTTTTCTTATCACTATTATGAAGTGCTATACCGAGAAAGAAAAAAAAAACGCTTTAAAAACAAAATTCTAAAATTTTCGAAAATCAATAAAGAAATCAAAAATTCTTGTTTTGTAAAAAAATCAAGAATGACTTGAATAAATGTTTTTTAATTTATAAATTTCAAAACATTGTAAATCACGGAATTTGCAGACTTCTTCCTGAGTAAGTTTTGGTTTGGGTACGGGTTTTGCGGTGTCCACTTTAGGACGACTGAATTTATGTCCGGTCGTCTAGCGAAGAGCAAACCATCGGATGAATATGTTTAAAGCGCACTTGATTTACAGCTACAGTCGCAGCATCCTTTCAGTCATGGCAAATGCAGGGGAGACCTCGACAGCAAAGTCCAGTAAAACTTACTACAATAGGCAACTTTTTCCGACTAAAACCCGAATTATTGTTGTCAGTTTTCTGCAACCGCAAAACATAAAAATGCAAATTCTGTAGCTACGAATAAATTTCCTCTGACGCAATTCTTTGTGCTTGAAACTATACATTTTTGAAGCATTTAATCACGATTTGGTGAAGGTACTGGTAGTTAATGAGAATATATTTTATTAGACGTTTTGTGGCTTTTTTCCGTAGGATATTCGCAATATAAGGGTTGAAATGTTGCCTTGACATCGATTAACTGGGCGATTAGTCGTCCGTAAGCCCTGCTATTACCGCTGGGGATTCCGCTAGACTTAAAACCGGCCTAATGTGACCATCAATTATACGCTCTTTGTTTCATTATTAAGCACCGCAAACTGGTCGTGGCGGCGGCGGTACAGCATAGATTCAACCCACATTTAAGTAAGGACATTTAAAAGAATTATTTTTTAGCCCTTAAACTGGATCCTCTCTGATGAAGGACCACACCTTTCACCCCTATTTGCCTCTTCTCTTCTCAACCCACAAAAACATATATTTGAAAAACCCAACTATTCAACTCGTGCGCTAAAAATGCTTTCGCAAACATTTAAAGCGTGTGCGGATAAAAAAGCAAAAACGGTTCAACATCCGGCTGTGCTTTAGAGTATTCGTACTGCTATTGAATGTGGGTTTGTCCGGTTGGGCTACGCTTCCGTCCGGACCCTACGAGAGAAAGCGAGCCACCGCCACGAGTGGGCGATGATGTCGTCGGTGGGTTTTGTTAGAGGGTGCGCAAACGCGTTCGCGTACAATCGCTTACTGATAAGCGCAAAACTTATATGACAGGGTTAAGGGTGACGAAAATGATAGCCCTCCAGACTTTCGAGATATGTAGCGCTTCCAAAAAACACCCCCTACGGTTTATATTCTTACTTCTTTTTGCAGTGGCCTCGACGCTGGAAGATTATCGCCCCGAAAGTTACCAAAACAGAGTACAAAAGACGCCGTTCGTGTTTTCTACAAGTATACGAGTCGTGCTTTTTGTTTCCACCAGCCGCGCGTAGTAAAATCGTCAATAAAAATAGAAATTTATTCGCATTCAGGCGTGTCCACGCAAATCTCGTTCTTGCGTTCATGATTAGATTGTCGGTAATGATGAGCTTCAAACACAATTAAAATTTAAATTGGGGACTGTGCTAGAGGGGCGACACTGATAGATCGGGGCGTACGGAAGCCGGAAAACCCCAACGACGAAGTAAATGGACTTTGTAGTTGCACCGTGTGCGGGAGGCATTGGCGCGATCGACGCCAAGTCTCATTCAAGCGCACGCACGGGTCGAAA